CATAAGAATATAAGTTTTCGTTTTTGGGGGGCTAAAACCAAGGAGTAGGGTTGCTGGATTATATGGTTGTTGTGTGTTTATAAGAAACTACCAAACTTTTCTACCAGCAGGATATGTGAATTTCAGCTATTGTGCATCTCTACCAGGGCTTGGGACGTCAGAGGTTTTTTTCTCCCCTTTTAATTTTTAAAGTCATTCTAATGTGTAATCGTAGCTTACTGTGGTTTCAATTTGATTAATTTTAATTTGTGGATTAATTTTTGATATGAGGCATCTTTTCATGTGTTTATTTGCCATCTATATATCTTCTTTGCTGAAGATTCTTTTGCCCCTCCTTTAAAAAATTAATTCTCTTAATGTATTTATTTATTTTTTAGTGCTCTTTACATATTTTAGATCCTAGTCCTTTATTAGATGTGTTTTGAAATTTTTTTTCTCATCCTGTGGCTTGTCTTTTAAGTTTCTTACAGTAGTGATCAAAGAAGCTAAGTTTTAATAAAGTCCAGTGTATCAGTGTTTTCTTTTATGGGTTGTGCTTTTGTTGTCATATCTAAAACATCTTTGCTAACATAAGGTCACAAAGATTTCCTCCTATATGTTTCTTTTAGATGTTTTATAGTTTCAGGTTTCAAACTTCGGTCCATGATCTATTTTGAGTTAATTTTTTTATACGGTACGATGTAAGGACTGAAACCTTCCCCTTCCTTTTTTTGGATATAGATATCCAACTCTTCTAGCACCAATTTTTCCAGCACCATTTGTTGAGTGCCAATTTATCTTTATTTTGTTTTATTTTTTTGAGAGAGGGTCTTGCTCTGGTGGAGTGCAGTGGCGCAATCTTGGCTGGAATGCAGTGGCGTGATCTTGGCTCATTGCAGCTTTGACCTCCTAGGCTCAAACGATCCTCCCACCTCAGCCTCCTGAGTAGCTGGAATCACAGACACCGTGCCACCACACTTGGCTAATTTTTGTATTTTTTTGTAGGGACAAGGTTTCACCAATTTATCTTTAAAGCCCGTTTTGCCATGTCTATTAATCAGGTAAAGCAAGGAACACAGCAGAACAGCTAAGAAGACAGCGTGAGCTATGAGCAGACAGGACAATAAAAGGAGGAAAAACTGTGGAGACCAATTTCTATAGCGAACAAATTGTTTTTCAGCGGACGAATCTGGAGGCATTTGACCAATCACTTAGTTCACTGTTTCCTACGTCTGCATTTGGAAGCATCAGTGCAGACCTACTCCTAAGAAGAGATATCACTGAGGACCTTTACTTCCACCTCTCTTTGTTATGACTTCGGCTCATTTACAGAGCAGGCAGCTTCTCACCAAGACCACTGACTAGCTGTGTTCCTATTTCCAAACAGCATTCTGCCCAGGCTTTCTCTATTTGGAGAAGTATTTACATGTATTATAATTGAGTACTAGTTAAAATACTTAGTTAGGCTTGTTCTCACTGAAATTTGCTATTGGTAGTGCAAGATAAAGGAGTTGTTGCAAAAACTGAAAGGTGACACTCACACTATCTTTCTAACGAGCTATCTCTCTAATGGCTTCTTTTCAATACGAAAAAGTCTCTGCTTAAATAACTATAAGGAGAAACTGATCTTAGATAACTGCTTTCAAAAACACTAATGCCAAATGCCCTACGCTTTTCGCAACACAATTTCGTTAATTTAGGCCTCTACTAGAAACTTAAGACTAGATGGTTTAGATCGTACACGAGAGCCCATTTCCCCAATTTTTAAAAACATACGTCCTTTCCCTGTATCATAGTAAATCTTCCCACATCCTAAAACTTTCTTCTCAAGCTTTTAGTCTTTTATTAAGAAGGCAAATCCCTTTCCTGAAGTTATCTTTACACTGAGTGGAATGGGCACCACTTAAAACAGTACTCTCCTAGCAGGAAATGTAGCCTAGTCCTGGGACTGGGAAACAACAGTGGCCTCCTGCTCATCCAGTCTGCATCACTGCATGTTTAGAGGTCTAAAAAATGTCATATACATTTCTTGGTACATAATCAGTAAACATTAGCAAATTAATAAATGTGAAATGTCCAGTGGATAATAAAGATAACTACTCTATTTTTCTTTAATGCATATTTAAGCTTGGTATACTTGCAATCTTTTATCTGTGAATGATCTGCATTAACCATGTTCATAATGTTAAAGGAAATAAATAAGTTCTCGACTGACAATTATTAACCTAAAAGTAGAGATCCAATAATCTCAAAGAATTTCACAAAGAAGAGATAATATCAGACGTAGCTGGCATATTGGAAAGAGTATGGCTTGAGAGTTAAAACTTTCCTGTACTTGAATCTGGGTTCTGCCATGGATAAATTATGAAACATGTCTGGCCTTCATATTTCTTATCTGTAAAATAAAAGTTAAAATAACTCAAGTGCCAGCCAGGCATGGTGGCTCACATCTGTAATCCCAGCACTTTGGGAGGCCGAGGCGGGCGGATCACGAGGTCAGGAGATCGAGACCTTCCTGGCCCTAACAACGTGAAACCCGCTTCTCTACCAAAATACAAAAAAAAAAAAAAAAAAAAGAATTAGGTGGGCGTGGTGGCAGGTGCCTGTAGTTCCCAGCACTACTCGAGGCTGAGGCAGAACGGCTTGAACCCGGAGGTGGAGCTTGCAGTAAGCCAAGATCGTGCCACTGCACTCCAGCCTGGGGGCCCAACAGGGGCCTGGTCTCAAAAAAAAAAAAAAAAAAAAAAAAAAAAAAAAAAAAAATCAAGTGCCTTGCTTAATGCCTGACAGGTAAGAGGCACTTATTATCAGCACCCATATGAGAATTCTGTTCAATAGCATCATAAACAAAAGCCTTGGTCCAACAACTATTGGCCACTTTGCTTGCCTGAGTGAAGGATTCATTCAGTTTGACTAGTTTGTACTTAATAGACTATATGCTAACAGCAATGAGATTACTGCACCTCTATAATTCATTAATTCATTCATTTACTCAGAAATATTTACTGAACAACTAGTATGTGCCAGGCAGGGTTCTGAGCTCTGGAGCTACAGTGGAATGATGTGCCTGAGAGATATAGATATACAGTGAGCTTGTAGGGTTGCATATGGAGAGCTGGTATCCTGACATTGATATTTATAGATAACATTCAAGTATGTAAGAATAATGTGGTGATGAAATACCAATTTTAAAAAGAAACAGAAATTTTCAGAAGTATATATTAGTAAAATATAAGTCATTCACGTTAAAAATATAAATTGAAGAAATAAGCCATTGTTCAAGGGAACAGTATGAAATAACTGCATATATCTGAAAGTGCCAATTTAACAGATTGAGAAGAGAAAGAGATTGGCAATAAGACTTATGCAAAACATGAAATTTTCTAAAAAAAAAAAAATAAAGAAGTGGGGAGACCAGATTGCAGATTATCTAGATGACGCTTTTAAGCGTAGGTATATTACATCAGCAACTTTCTAAAATAAAGTACATTAAAAGTAAAATATTTCTTAGAGACAGAAAATATGGCTCTAAAATACAAGAAAATGTGTGACTGACAGTAAAGTCCAAAAGAAAAGTGACAAAAAAACGAGATGAGGGGAGGAGAACCCCGTATTTTATGATTCTGTTTATATGAAATATCTAGAACAGGCAAACCTATGGAGATATAAAGTAGATTTATGTTTGCCTTGGGCTAGCTGGGGGGAATGGGGAAATCAGGAAAAATCGGGGAAGATGTTCAAAGGTATGGGATTCTCTATGAGGTGATAAAAATACTCTTAAATTGATTGTAGTGATGATTGCACAACTTTGTGAATGTACTAATATACATGATTTTTTTTTCACTTTAAATGATGAATGATTTGCATAGGATATGAATTATATTTCAATTAAGCTATTTAAAAAAAGAGGATTAAGGAATATGTGAATTCCCTCACAATGTGTGGACCTTATTTGAATTCTGATTCAAATAAATAAGCTGTAAAAACAAAATAAAATATATTTATCAGACAGTTGGAAAAACTTGGGAGTGAATGAAACAGGGTTAAAAATATATTTGGCGTCATTGGTTTTATTGATGTAATTCAATAGTACACTAGAGAGGCTGTTCTGTAAAGTGGTTTATTGTCATGTACTATAACCATGTTGGGATTAAAATCTCCTTAAATATGTGTAAAATGTACTAAAACCCATCAAATTCCCATATGTGAACATTCTATTTATACATTTCTCATTTGGACACTCAGATATCTGTAATATAGCTTAAAATAATGATGTTTTCTTTTGGGAGGCCCAGGTAGGATGATTTCTTGATCCCTGGAGTTCAAGTTTAGTGTGTACAACATAGTGAGATCCTATCTTACAAAAAAAAATTTTTTTTAAAAATTAACTTGGCGTGGTGGCATTTGCCTATAACCCCAGCTACTCAAGAGGCTGAGGTGGGAGGACTGCTTGAGCCCAGGAGTTTGAGGCTTTAGTGAGCTATGATTGCACCACTTCACTCTAGTCTTGGCAACAGAGTGAAACACTGTCTCCAGAACAAAACAAAAAAGGATGTTTTCTATTTCAGAATGTTTATACCCTAAGGTAAGTTTCACAATATAAACATCCCACATATGAATATGTTCTAAATAAATTTTTTCTGTTTTGAGTGTTTTTATAAGTAAAAAAGTGTTCAGATTTAGTCAGTGGACAAAACTAAGAAATAGGCATTTATTTTAAGCACTTTAGAATACATTATATTAGTCAACAGATGCTCATCTGATTGCCTTCTCCTAAGGGAGTAAACACAACTGAATTACCATTGCTTTATTAGTCCTCATGAAAGGAAAATCCACTCTACAATAAGGAATGCTGTCAAGACAACAGTAAAATGTTCTCCTTTTCACTTAAAATTTTAACCTTGTATTTATAGATGTTAAGTGGCAACTGGTAATATTATAGTAAAGAACAGGACAAAACAAAACTACGGAATATGTTAACTTACTGATGACTGCTCAAGCAAAAGCAAAATCTCTCTTACCATCCTGTTGATCCGCACAAAGTCTTCAGGTTTTTTTGCCCAAGGGGGAAGATCAACATCATTTACCACTACTTCATCTTCTCTGACTCCAAGATTATATCCATTACTGTTGACAAACATCTCTGGTAGGTAGTAGAACTCTGGAATTAGTTCCTATCAGGAATAAAAATGAAGCATATTCAACAAACCACTTTATAAAAAAGTTGAGTAAAACTATTAACTTATAACTTATTAACTATAAATGGAATAAAATAATTTCTTAAAACCAACATTTTATGAATTTATTCTATTCTATTCTATTCTTCATTTAATTTTATTTAAAGATCTGAGAAGATAAAGCATTTCTTGTGAACAATTCACTTGAAAATTTATATTTATGATAGATGATATTTTAAAATGTTACCCATTTTCAATTTTATCCTCCCATAAATTAATGAAGAGAAATGAGTATTCAAATTAACAACAGTTCATAATAGCATTAGAAAACAAATATGTAAAGCTATATAAACAAGTCTATGTTGTGTAAAATCTTTGTCCGAAATTTAATGAACTATCCAAATTAGAAACTAATTGCCAGTATTTGTAACAGATCACAGATTTTCTACTTTTCTTTTTAATCTATACTGACAATTACAATATGTGATTTTTTATAAAGAGATTCATAGTTTTTTTGACTTGATAAAGTAAGTTATTTTTATATCAATCACTGAACACAATAAAAGAGATGATACACAATATGATAATCAGTTTTAAATATTTAATGCATGCCATAGAAATGACAGGTCCTCAACAAATTGGATGCAAAGACAACTTGTGTTACTTGTACGTAAGTGTAACATAAACAACTGGATTCAAGGCGAACTTGTGTGTGACGTACAGTGTCTAATTTGGGGTTTATGTTACTTTAGAATAAATCTGATAGAGAAATGAACTGATTTTAATACCCTAAAAGTTTTTGTTGCTGTTTTTAAAAAAGTAATTGTGAGAAAATTAAAACAAACTGTAGTTTTTATGTGTACCATCTTGATCATCTTTTTTCAAATATCAAGATAGGGTTGTGAGGCTACACATTTATTTGTGTAATATGATCAACATTGATGGCACGACACCTGAAACTTAAATCTGTAGTCTTTTCTAGGGATGCATAAAAAAATTAAAACCACCACACACTGAGGTCTTAAAATAAACTGGATCCCTAACTTTCTAGAAAAAGCATATATAAAATCTTTCTCTTCATGAGTTCTCCCACTAAAACTAATATATCTGTTTTAAGTGGGTGTTCATTTTAGTAATGCTCTGTGTGAAACTGACCATTACTCTTATGATGATCACTGTGAACCATAAGAAAAATATAAATGTTCATTTTCTCCAGTATTACGGGTACATCAACAGGTCAATATAAATGATTTTTCTGGATAAATGGAGCTTTGCTTTTCAAGAATTTTAAAATAGAAATCTTTCTAAAATCCTTTACATATTTCTCTGACATTTACTTATGCATATAGTAAAGATTTTTAGTACCAGAAACTGTGATGGGTACTCAGGAAACAACAAATGAACAAGACATGGCCTTACTGTTAAGTAATTCATAGTCTGGCCTATGGGGCAGGTGTAGAACCAGATGGTTATAATACACAATAGCAGCTGTGGAAGAAGGGAGCAGGGAGGAAAGAGCAGGGGATTCTGGGCAAGTCAGGAGAGACTTCATTGGAGATGGGACATTGGAGTTGGAGCATGGCTAAGATGAAAACAAAAAGAGGGGGCAGGGCAGCCTCAGGGAGTTCTACGGAGTGGTGATGAACACAAGAGGAGAACAGGGTATATTGTGGGTAGATCAAGACAAGAGAGAGATGAGATGGTAGGAGGTATATGAGGCCAGATGATGAGAAAAGGTTTATGAAGGATAGGCTGTTTGGATTTTGTCTTACTGGTTTAGAAATTTTAAAAAAGACTTTTTAACACAGTCATATTTGTTTTATAGCAAGATACTGGGTGACAAAGTAAACGAGAGATTGGAGAATGGGGAGATGTGGTGTGTACGCATGTGTAGGGAGGAGAGAGAAGGGCAACTGCTAAGTGTGGACAAAAAGGGGCCCTACTGTGAAACTTAATCAAAGAGGGGAAATCTGCAACAGAGACAAAGAGAGGGAATTAGATGGCTCACACTAAGAGCCAAATGTGTATCAGCAATAAACTATGTACAAGACCTCAAGGTCACAATGAAAAAGGAAAAGAGAATTCTAGTGGAATTAATACAAATTAATATAATTTTTCAATGACTCCAATATTAGCGGGGAAATGGAGAAGAGGCTGAAAGAAAAACCATACGGCAGAAAACACATGTTTATTTGCCAAAAATCATACAGTTTAATTGAGGGATAAGACAGGCTAAAGGGTGCTTCAGCAGTGACCATTCTATCAGCAATGACTATCATGAGTCCGATTTCCAGGCAGGGAAAACATGACAGTGTTTATCAGTCACGGAAGGAGCAGTTTGGTATGATCGCTGACTGAAGAGTAGAAGTAAAGGATCACTGCTGTTCTCATGTATTGGCACTCGATCAGAAATGTGTATGATTATCTTAAGACTTCAACGTATTCACATAAAATATATAGTTTCTTCTGCTCTTACTCTCACTGGGAAAACATGAGGAATTAGTAAAAGGTGCAGAGAAAGCAAAGATTATTGCTATTTGCATATGACCTGGTCTTCATGTGACACAATAGCAATGACACCCTAAAGGGTCCAAAGTGGGAAGGAACGTAAGCTTGTGCAGCTGCTCGGCTGGGAGCGTGATTTATATGTACTAGACTCACATAAATCAGGTGTTTCCCTTACTGCCTTTCATCAGTTAGTTGTGCTCCTGTCCTATCTCTATAACGAGGCTACAGAAGCTTCCTTGAGGGCAGAGAGGAACGTATATATCTACATGTATATAGCAAAATATATTTAGTTTTATTTAAACAACTCAAATAGTCTTAATTTATCTTATACCACCTTGGCACTCTATAATGTTTTTCATATATTATTTCCCATTCTTTCCTGTATAAAATATGTGGTCATTATTAACTTACCACTACAATGCAATTTCACTGAAAGTCATTAAATTAGATTCACAAAGGCGCAAGAAACATAGGATGTCATATTTATTAATGTGAATAAAATTTGGGAAAATGCAATTTTAGTATGAATAAAATCTGGGCAAATGAAAAGTTCTGAGTCTATTTTGTGAGGTTTACGTTTTGTTGGATCCTTAGTAGCTCTCAGTGCTATACTTTGCATGCAGCAGGTGCTCATTAAATATTAAACTATTACAGATATTGGACGAAGTTACTTTAATAAGACTAGAAATCTTCTAGGGAATATGCAGATGGTTGGAAAAATGCCTCAAGATGGGGAAAGAGTCAATGAAGGACTTTATTAAATAAAAGGAAAAGGATATCAACCCTGACATGGAATCTGCCTTTTAAGGGGAAACTTTTCTGTTTAAAAAATGTTATCTTGTTTATTTTCCAGTTATATTTAAAAGGCTCAGAAGCATAAAATAGCTCAATTTAAATACAGAAAAAGTTGATTTTAAATTTGCCATCAGAATTGTTCTCTACAGAAGTGGCAGAAGACTGATTTCATTTTCATTTAGGCACTAACAGCTGGCCTCCACCAAAGAACAAGGCAGGCCTAGAAAGATCTGTCTTGATGGTTCTTTAGAAGGGCAGGAGGAAGAATACTCCAGTAAGAACATTCAAGGAGGCCCTAACTGGGGCTAGTCATAGAAAGAAGTAGTGTTACCAGGGCCTACAGGACAACGTCCTAAGTAAGGACTTTTTTTTTTGGCTCCATTCTTATCAGGCCACCCAAAATGTGGTCATAAATTAGGGCATTAACTAAGATGCTGATTTAAGATGTTAGAGGCTTGATGTTTGAAGGGACAAAGAAACTCTCCCAGATTTCTCATAATGGAAACAACCACTAAACAGACATGTTTTAAACACAGACAGAAACTCCTGAAGCACAGCTTATTTGCAGAGCCCCTGGAGGTTTCAAAACACCAGAGCTTTCAGTGACTAAAGCTTTCCGAACCTGAAGTCCAGAGTTGGGGATAGTTTGGAGTTTTCTGAAGGGGATAGAAGAGGAAGTGACATTACAAGAAGTCTAGGGAGAAGTAGCTGAAGCAGCAGAGGGGGGAATTTTTTTTTTTTGGTCTCAGTGTTATTGTTTTACAATCTTGTTTCAAATAGCAATTTTTATTTAAAGTTAGTATGTAAACACAAGACATTAGTATAATTTATATTCACAATTCCATTATTGAAAAGATTTGTTGTTTTAAAAATATAAACCAAAGAATATGAGCGTTTCATTTCTGGGATTCAACTGGTTATGTGCAAGAAGATGGCAATTACTACATTTGTGCTCCGAGGCCAGGAATTACCTTAAATGTTACCTGTGGTCATTCTGTTCTAAAACAGCAGGTAACATTTATTTTGGTAACTCTCTATGTCTTGGCACTGTTCTAAGTGCTTTACATATATTTTCTTAATCTTCACAACAAGTTTGTGAAGTAGGTATTCTCATTATTCCCACTTTATAGACATGGACACTGAGGTAAAGATCGGGTGGGTAATTTGCTAATGGCTGCACTGCAAATAGGTGGTAAAGCCAAAAATCAAACCCAGATACTTTAAATCCAGGTTTCCTGCTCTTACATTCTGTATTCCGCTGTTTAAAGTGACAATCCAGTCTTTTTTTTTTTTTTTTTTAAGATGAAGTCTCACTTTGTCGCCCAGGCTGGAGTGCAATGGCATGATCTCAGCTCACTGCAATCCCACCTCCCGGGTTCAAGCGATTCTTCTGTCTCAGCCTCCTAAGTAGCTGGGACTACAGGCGTGTGCCACCACACCAGGCTAATTTTTGTATTTTTAGTGGAGATGGGGTTTCACCATATTGGCCAGGCTGGTCTCGAACTCTTTACTTCGTGATCTGCCTGCTTCGGCCTCCCAAAGTGCTGGGATTACAGGAGTGCGCCACTGTGCCCGGCCACAACCCAGTCATTCATATGAGTTTACTCTGTTTTAATTTTCTGCAGAGCAATGATAATTTTCTCTATTTATTGCTGTATGCTTGCATGTCTCATCATAATAGAAATCCCAAGAAA